GTCATGGGTGCGTTTACAAATATACAAATTCTCATACACATGACACGCAAACCCGTAACAACAATCTAAGGGTGATCCTTAGATTGTTGTTACGAGTTTACTAAGAGTTGTTCCGTGCGGAAATCGGACCCGGAACACGTTGCGCGGCAGACAGTTGCCCACTCACCGCGCCAACCTGAACTGCTGAACATCGTGAGGAAACTTGGGCTTATGACTTCTTATTATAAGTTTTAAGTCGCCAATCCGCTTGAGCAATAGTGGTGATTAATGCTCAAACCTTTTTCATGTGAGAAGAGGGACTCAGCAATGGGCACTCGCAAGCTGTTGATGTGATATAAGATTTTAATGATTGTTTTTATAAATAATTTGCAGGTAATTTCCTGAATTTATTGGGAATTATATTCGTGTTTGAGCATATTGTGACAGATTATGAGGGGAAAGAGGTGGAAACGCATACGGACCTGGGATCTATATTGTTTTGTTTTGGTTCATTGTTATTCAATTTGAGTGCCATTGGAGTGGTGAGTAAGTTTATATCTTACTTTTATACATACGTAATTAACATAACATAACATCATGCCTTTTATCCCCGAAGGATAGGCTGAGCACATTACGACACTTATTGCCACTGTACAATGTAGTACCTATGCTAAACTTACTTTTACTACCAAAATTACTTTTTACATGATTCTGCTGAAAAGGTGTCCCAAAGCTTTTTTAAGGTGTAATGTCACATTATTTTATAATACATTTTACCTGCCCGTAGACCCTGTCCATAGACAAAAGTCTGAAGCAAGCGAAAATGATGACGAGCAGGTTCGGAGTACTGAACGTCGGTATTCTTGGGCCGACCATCATCTCGGTGATATTCGGCACCCTGGGGTACTTGACCTTCGGTACTATGGAAGAGAATGTACTACGGTCCCTGCCATATGACGAACCGTGGGTGACCTCTTTTTAAACAGGCTATTGGCATCAAACATTTGTGGAATAGTAACTATTAAGTATTATAGTAACTGGAAGTAGCCGACTGCCTAAAGGATGGACTATATTGAGTCATGCATGCAGTTAATTTGAAATAATAATGAATTAGATATAGATGTGATGTGATGATTTGATTTGATCAACAAAATTTAGATCTGTAAAGTAGGTAGAAAACAGAGGTTGTGACTGCGACCCATTGAAAATATTATCTTTAATGTTTTAGTTACCTAATTGTATTTAGCACAAAATAGCTGATAGTAAAAGAGAATCGTTTCGAACAAAATTGTGTGCCTGCAGCTTCTCTTCAATTTTTTTTGTGTAGTCTTTAGTAGTTAAGATTATGCTCAACATTAAAAAGGTGTTTGCAAAAATTCATGTACTAACAAAGTCTTGATCTGCTAGAAGACGTCCTCTACTAGACAAAGGCCTCCCCTTTAGTCCTCGATGTCTAACAACATCGATAACTCGCCACAAGTCTTGTTAATAACATTTAGTTAATAAAATAATATTTTGTAGAACTTCTATGGTTGCAATGGGCCTTTACTTGGTTGCTGTCGCTTTCGCGTTTCCACTACAATGCTACCCCGCCATTGCGACCATTATCGAAGTGATAAAGTACCACGACCAGTTGACTACTCCATCGGACATCACACTGCGCATGATTGAAACTGTCGCTAGACCATTGTTCGTTGTTATGTCTTGTAAGTTCTACATTTATACTTTTTTATGTTTTTTGGAATTATACAGCGGATGTATATTGGTAGCTCGACAATATCCCATCTCCACTTCAAAAGATACCCGTCCTTTAATTATCCTTCTCCCGTTAACAAACCTCCAAACTTCCACAGCATATTAGCCTTAGCCAAGTTATTTATGTGTACATAATGAATATTGTATGTATACATTTCAATCGTTTCAGTTATTATTTGTTACATCGTACCGTTTCAAGCGCCGTTTGTGGCATTTGTGGGGAATCTCTGTACATCTGTATTGGCGCTCATATGTCCCGCTCTCATGGACATGTGCATCAGGTAAATATCGAATTATTACAAGTATGTGGTACACACGTGTCCAGTATTGAACTGATCGTTGAATGTGCCCAAAGATCGTACAATGCAAGACCATGATATGCTTTTTAAATCAAACTACGGAACGACTCGTCTACGTGCACGTCTACGGATACATATCCTGTCTGCTCAGACATTGATTCTGAGGCACGATAGTTAAGCGGATTGCAAACTGATACATACTTGTTTGCCATCAGAACCAGGTCTACGGTAACTAGCTGTGCCGACAAACTTCGTACCGCCTACAAATATTTTTCTCACCTATTAAACCTTCCCGGACTTTCACGAACATTTCAAGACCAAAATTAGTCAAATCAGTTCAACCGTTATTTATCCCGTTTCAAGATGAATTAGCACATTTCCCACTTTATTTTACTTTTCTATTTTAATTTCATTATACAATATGTATGTACATGTTAACCTTTCAGATATCCTTACTACTACGGCCGGAACAACTTCCATCTTTACAAAGACCTGTTTATATTGCTTCTTGGTTTAACTTCATTGAGTTTTGGTGTATTCTTCTGCCTTTATGTAATACGTATACGGTTGCTTTCAACATATTCGCCAAATAACTACGGGTATTACTGATGTTTTTCTAGTGTTGTTACTTTCTACTCTGTATTGGTGCTGTTTGACTAAGAATTAAAGTGGCAAGCTCTACTGTTTGTTTTAATTAATTGTTTATTTTTAACTAGCGACCCGCCTCGACTTCGCACGGGTGCAATATGCATGTATTATACATACAAACCTTCCTTAAGAATCACTCTATCTATTAAAAAAAACCGCATCAAAATCCGTTGCGTAATTTTAAAGATCTAAGCATACATACGGACATACAGCGAAAGCGACTTTGTTTTATACTATGTATTGATTTTAACTGCCTCGTTGGCCGAATAGTCGCAAGTGCGACTGCTGGGCAAGGGGTCTCGGGTTCGATTCCCGGGTCGGACAAAGTATTACTGGATTTTTAAAAAATTCTCAGTTGTAGCACGGAGTCTGGAATTGGGCCTGGTAAATGGCAATAGGCTCACCCACACATGGGACTCATAACATAAATAAATAGTGGAACTCAGAACATGAAACTTTGGAAAACACTACCACTCTCCAAACAATTAGTCGAGATAGTTATAGGTTAAGCTGAGTTCCCGTGAGCAAAGTGTTCCGACAGAAAGACCTACCCAGACTCAGCAAAGAATCGAAGAGGATCTAGTTGGAGTAAAAAAACTCTCAACTTAAAAGCAGACCATATCAAAGATACTCCACCACAACCTCATCTTCCCCAATTTAAAAATGACCTTCAGCCTAGATTCCCCACTCTAAGAGCTCATGACCTCGAAGGTTTGCCTGCCAATATTGTAGGCAGAGAATCATATTAGGCGTCGCGGTAGTTATTTCTTCGACGCCTTCAACGGATCTGCCCTCTCATGATCTCGCTCAGCAGCCTTTTGGGAGATTACAGTCTCACAAAAGGTGGCCGTAACTAACTTTCATCCCCTATTATACCTCCTTGGGATTGGAAATGATCTAAATCCTTTCTTAGTGCATGCTTACGTCATAACATCTACCTGCATGCCGAATGTCAATCGATCGGTGTAAAACTGACAAAGTTTCATACTAACTTTCATTCCCTTATTTTACCCCCTGGGGGTGGAAATGATCAAAATCCTTTCTTAGTGGATGCCTACGTCATAGCATCTACCTGCATTCCAAATTTCAGCCCGATCCGACCAGGGGGTTGGGCTGTGCATTGATAGATCAATAATGTCAGTCAGTCAGCCAGTCAGTCACCTTTGAATTATATAGTAATACTTATTTATTTATTTATTCTTTAATGTACATAATTTTTTTATGGTACATAAGGCGAACTTAATGCCATATGGCATTCTCTACCAGTCAACCTTAGGGTTTAAGTGGAAAATCTGCGAAAACTGAGGTACGGAGAATAAACTAACAACAAAGAGAGAGAGAGAGAGAGAGGAAAAAATAATGGTAATTATTAAATAATATAGTTATACATATATATTACATAATAGTAAATAGTATATATAGTCATATGCATAAAATATATAGGTATAAATACATACATAAATATATATCGACGAAGACCTAGATCTAGCGTTGCAGCGATTTTAAATAAAATTCATGAACTTGGTGTTTGAAGGAGATTTTATTAGGAGCTTTTTTGATATTGAGGGGGAGCGCATTCCAAAGTTTGATGACACTTATTGTAAAAGAATTAGAAATAAAAGAGGTCCGGTGGGAAGGTATCTCAAGAAGCAAGTTGTACATCGAGCGGAGGTTACGGTTGTGGCAACTGCCTAATAGCTGGAAGCAGGATTTTAAGTAATCTGGAGCACAAGGTCTATATATACATAATACTATTATATATATATAGATATTACCTATCGTGAGACATACTAAATTAAAAATAAACTAAATATCGCGGGTTACTCACGTGAATATACTGAGAAAAGCCCAAAGCGCCCTCTGCCGGACACCACAAGCGTTTGCTTCCAACTCCGGCGGCCGGCAGCGGCGCGTTGGACCATGTTGACGCGCACGGTACGTTAACCAGCGGCGCGGGTAGTGGCTTCAATTCCGGGTTCGGCACAAAGTCAGTGTTACATATAAATATATTAGTTATAAATATTAATATTCTAATCATACTTATATAACTAATATTATAAAGCGTAAGCGTATTAGTGTGAATGTTTGCGTCACTCAAGTCCTTCAAACGGCTAAAGGGATCGGTATGAAATAACAAACAGGAGTAAATTATTCAGAGTTTTTATTATAATTATTCTGTCTCTCGTCCGTTTTAAAATAAAACATCTGTCAACGACTTGTGACAGATTTTAGTATACTTTATTGTTATTGATTGATGGTTTATAATTTTATATTAATTAAAATAATTTGTATCATTTTATATTCCTAGAAATAAACTTTTACATTATTTATCAGTGGTTTCGTCAAGTATCTACATTCTTATTTTATTTATGTCTCTTATGAGTGTGTAGAATAATTCGTTAATATTTTGCAATTTATATAATAAAGTTTCGGTGACTTCGTAGTAAATTCAAATTTATTTATAAATAATGTAAGTACCCTTCATATTTTGAGTAATAACAGTATGTTATACAGTGTGTATTATTTCTATTAGTTTTTTTTTTGTATATTACACAAGCCTATTTTTGGTGACCTAACATTTAACCCAAAGGTTGACTGGGAGAAAATGCCTTATGGCATTAAGTCCGCCTTATGTACCTTATTTTGTGTGCGTTAAAAGGTTAATAAATATATAAAGAATAAATATTGTACTATGTTGAAAATGCCCTTTACTTCACCATAAAACACTGTACCAGTTATTGCTAATACTTATATACTACCTACTAGGTAGTATATATAATAGTATAAAAAGTCGTCCTACTTATAAATAACATAAAAAAATAAACTTATAGTACTAAACCATACACAACCAACCAACACATTACATATGTATATATCAATAAACATAAACATACATTGTTGAACACTATTGCCCAGACATTGATACGAGATTAAATTCGACATAATAGTAACTATTATATTGGTTTATTTTATGAGTTCTTGTTAACAGTAAAAATAAGGTTTCGGTGATGTCGAAGTATTCTTCGACAGATCATTGTCTTAACTTTATTGAGTTAAACGCCCGGGTGTCATCCCTGCGAGGACCTCCCTGGTGAGACGGTGGAACACACGGTGGGGACATGCCCTGTGTGGGCTGAGCACCGCCGTGCCCTCAGGGATGTGATCGGCGACGGCTACCTCTCGCGTTCGGTCCTAGTCCGGACCATGATGCGGAGCGAGGGGGACTGGAATGCCGTCTCCTCCTTTTGCGAAGCAGTCATGCTAGGTAAGGAGGAGGCGGGCCGCGTGAAGCAGTGAATCGCTGCCTTCTCACAACCCAGCTGTCGCGAAGGACACTCCGGGCATCGGGGATCGCTGGACGATCTCTGGCCACCATAAGCATGGGCTTGCGGACGCAGAGCATGGGTAGCTCGCCGCACGACCAAAACCAGACCCTAACGTACTCAAAGAGCGATCAGACCACCACGGATGGAGCCCAACTGGGCTGATGTCGATACGGAGCTGCGGAGGATTTAACTGGTTACCGGGGCTCCGGTTAGGAGGGCAGGAATAGGAACGGGGTGGTTTTTAGTCAGTATGAGTCTGATACTCCCTCCCGCCTCACCAAGACGGGAGAAGTCATTAGATGATTTTCCCCTCTTAAAAATGTATTGAGTTAAGACAGTCATCTCTCGAATTAAATCCAGTGTGTGATGTGTTTAGTTTTTTACAATTGGTTTACAAAAGCGAATTAATCTTTGGATACCTAAACTTATTATATATATACATATTTCAGGGCAGCCGTTGAGGAAGTCAGTAGGCTTATGTTCCAACCACACCGAACGAACCAAACTATTGACATCAGGAAGACGAGATTACCTTCACTGAGGCCTGAGGAAAATGACTACAACCCCAGAGACCATAGATCACCCACACATAATATTAAGTATGCAAACATGTCACCACATAGGAAGAAAATACACTCTTCTGTGTTCTTCACCGTGTTGTAAGAGCCGACTAACGGACTACACATTTAGCAGAGGCCGGGTAGCAGTGCCTTAGTAAACCTGAACCTTTTAAAGTACAATCTGCAACCAACCTCACTAGTGAGATTATGATAAATCCCTTGTATGTAGAAGAGGCTTGTAGGCCAGTATTGGAGTGTCACAATCTATTGATGTTTAGAACGCAACCATAAACCACCACACCCACCGAGGGCATGGCGGCAAAATTCTTTAAATTTTCTCTAGACTAACTGCGATCTCTTAACTGCTAGACTGGTATCAAGTTTGTGAATTATATATAGCAAGTGTTTTATATAAAGCAACATCATACAACTCTCTTAAGTTGATACCACATTATTTAGTTGGACCCATAATAGTTAATCCTCCATATCATGACAGCATTTCATTAACCACTACGTTAACTATAGGTCACAGATGTGCAAGTGACAAACGAGACCGACTACTGGCTCAACGTACTTCTTAGCATAGCCACATGAAGGTTAAACACACAACCAAATTACTTGACTCCAGTCTTCTAAATATAATATTTAGAAAATCGACCAATTTAACAAAATTAAAAAAGTGTTTGCCTGGAAACCATAGTTATGGTGAATGCTAATCGGGTATTGTTAAAACTAAAGAAACATATTTTATCTTTGTGATGTCAGGCTGTGGATGGCGTATTTCAACTTGTTGCGGACGATGTTTGCTGCCGGGATGCTGGGCATGCCACTTATAATCAGTAAGGCTGGAATTATCGCGGGGCCGATCCTCACAATACTCACCGGACTTCTGATCAATTATGGACATCATTTACTGGTAAATAACACCTGATTTATATTTTTTACAACTGACCTACAATACTACTTTGGCTCTTGATGCTCTTTTGGCTGAGTAATTCGTAATTATAATTATACTGGTAACTTTCTAGCCCAGGATTTAAATTTAAATTTTAAAGAGTTTTTTTTAGTAAAAGTAGGTAATTGAAACAGGACTCTCTAACCCGATGATGGCGAATCTTGGCTCCTAAGAGCCAAGAGAGATTTTGCTCTTATTTGACAGTAGAGATTCGCCATCATGAAGTGAAGATTCATATTAGAGAACATTCGCCTTCATCAGAGGACGCACAAAGTCCAGTTGTGGACTGTCACCGCCGGTTGATGAAGTCTAACAGGACTAAACTCCATTGATGCCATCCAGTGAAGTACTATTAATATTAATAGAAAACATATATAGAAACCATATAAATAGAAAAATATTAATGGTAATATTAATAGAAAACAATTTGACTGTTGTTCACTTGTGCAGTTAGAATGCCTGAACGAGATAGCAAAGCAGCTGCAGATACCATACGTATCGTATCGATATGGTTTCCGTGTGGCTCTCCTACATGGACCTCCTGCATTCCACTTCTTGGGCAGACACGGTCCGTGAGTATATAATATAACTTGTCAAATGTTATAATTTTTAAAACGACAAAAGAGATGATTTTCATGGGCCTTCTCTGAAAGCCAATGAAAAAAGCCAACGAAAGCCTACGAAAAAAAATGGTGTGTATCGTTAGAACCAGCCATTTGGAGCAATAGTTAATATGGCGTAAAAGTTGTAGGATCCAAGATGAAGAAGTTATACCAGTTCAAATATTTATTTATTTATTTATTTACATTTATGTACAATAAAGCATATAGCTTTATTGTACACATTTATGTAGCTTAAAACAAACAATTCAAGTAAATATGCGTACAATGGGCGGTCTTATCACACAATGGTGATTTCTTCCAGACAATCTTTGGATGGAAATATTTGTAAGAAGAAACCAGATAAGGGGTAGTTACGTGTACAATAAAATTCTTCATTTTTATACATTTATTGTCTTCTGAAGGTGCTAGGAAACGCAAAATAGTCATCGATATTGCTAGAATAATTACGTTTTTTTCACAGGACTATAATAGCCATATTTATGGTTGTCAGTCAACTTGGGACTTGTTCAGTATTCGTTATATTCACGAGCGACTGTTTGAGAGATGTAAGTTATCGTATCATTATTACGTGACTGATTTTGTACCAACATTATAATAACTGAATATATGCATCTTAACCTACTAATATTATAAATGCGAACGTTTGTATGTTTGTGTGTTACTCATTCGCGTCAAAACGCCTTCAGGAATCGTAATAAAATTTCAGGTATAAATTCTAGCGCGAGAAATTGTCCCTGCCTACCTACAAATGAGATACGGATACGACGACTTGTACAGTCAAAGGTCAAAAGTCCACTGCCACCGTGAGTGATGTTCACACGGCAATGCGTAAGTAATTTCATATTAATGTGCACAAAAACGCGTGCGTATGCACACGGATAAAAATATGCGTGTGCAGGTTGCGCTACAGCGCAAACGATAGTAGTCTTACGGTGGCAGTGGACTTTTAACCATTTACCCTACATACCCATGCATCTATACTTATATTCATTTTCTTTGTAGATAATGGACTGGCAGAGCAGTCAGCCGTCTCTCATGTGCCTCCTGTTCCCATATTTTTTATTAGAATTTTTTATGAAGGACTTGTCTATTGTCAGTTACGTGGCCATGCTGGGTGAGTTAAATTCGTTTATTTATATTTAGACTGCTCGTCTGTGAACGAACCCGGGGGCAAAAACGTGCAACTGTGCAACATCGTGCAGTAACTGTGAAACCAGCTGTCTAGGTCATTTATTGACCCGACCCGGTCTCCCCTGTCCCGATTCCTGAATATTTCAGTTACTTTTAAGTGTTTTGAAATCTTTTTTTTTTTCTTTAAAAACGGTAAGTACTTACCTTGTCTTAGGGGCGGTATTAGTGGAAAGGGAGGACTACCCCAAACTCATTGGGCTCGCTGCCATTGCAGCGGTAAGTCTCCTCTTTGAGGAGTGGCTTGAGAGACGCTACGGCGTCCTCAACTATCGCCTGGCGCAGGTCCTCACCGGACATGGAAGTTTCGGGAGGTACCTGTGTCTGATGGGGCGGGAGGAAACATCCGGGTGTCATCACTGCGAGGACCGCCCTGAGGACTGGATCACACTGTAGCGGAATGCCTTGCGTGGGCTGAGCACCGCCGTGCCCTCGGCGATGGCGACCTCTCGCGTCTGGGCCTAGTGCAGGTCATGATGCGGAGCGAGGGGGACTGGGATGCCGTCTCCTACTTTTGCGAAGCAGTTATGCTAGCTAAGGAGGAGGCGGGACGCGTGCGGCAGCGAAGCGCTGCCTCCCTGACACACCGGGCGTTAGGGATCGCGGGACGATCTCTGGCCGCCGTAAGCGCGGGCCTGCGGACGGCAAGCATTGGTGGCTCGCCGCCCGACCAGAACCAGACACGAGCGTACGGCGCGTTGCGTTCCGCGCGCGCTTCAAAGAGCCATCAGACCACCACGGAAGGGGCCCAACAGGGCTAATGCCGATTCGGAGTTGCGGAGAACCTAACGGGGTACCGGGCTCCGGCTCGACGTGTAGGAGAAGGAACGGGGTAGTTTTTAGTCAGTAAGAGTCTGACACTCCCTCCCGCCTCACCCAGGCGGAAGCAGTCATTCGATGATTTTCCCACCTTAAAAAAAAACCCCAAACTCATGGTCACCCTAACCAAACATTACAAAGTCGGCTACATCGCAGTGACTTCACTAATGGACTGATGTTGAGTCAAGACGTTAAACGTTTCATTCATCGACTTGACGAATTGTCCCTTTGTAATTCCATAAAATATACTAAAGTTATTTAATAAACTAAAGCTGATTCAACTAAATACTGCGACATATATAAATATTTTGCTTACATAATATTGTTCTCATAGATCTTAATATGAACAGCGTGAAGTAACCAGAGTGTTCGAATTGACTACTTACAGAATAGCCTAACTGGGCTTATAAGTTATAACTTCTAACTATAAGTTTAAAGTCGCCAATCCGTTTGAGCAAGCGTGGTGATCAATGGTCAAGCCTTCTTCGTGTGAGAAGAGGCACTCAGCAATGGCCACTTACAGGCTGTTGATGTGATATAAGATCTCAATTATTGTTTTCATAAATCATTTGCAGGTAATTTCCTGAATGTGATGGGAATTATAATCGTGTTTGAGCATATTGTGACAGATTATGACGGGGAAGATAAAGAGGTGGTGACGCATACGAACCTGGGATCTATAATGTTTTGTTTTGGTTCATTGTTATTCAATTTGAGTGCAATTGGAGTGGTGAGTAAGTTTATATATCTTATATCTGTCTTTTATATATGCCTAATTAATATAACATAACATCACGCCTTTTATCCTCGTAGGGTAGGTAGAAGTGCACATTACGACACTTATTGCCACTGTACAATGTAGTATGCTAAACCTACTTTTTCTATCGAAATTACATTTTGCTTAATTTTTGGGACAGCCTTTTTAAGGTGTAATGTCACATTATTTTAAATATCATTTTACCTGCCTGTAGACCCTGTCCATAGACAAAAGTCTGAAGCAAGCGAAAAGAATAACGAGCAGGTTCGGAGTACTGAACGTCGGTATTCTTGGGCCGACCATGTTCTCGGTGTTTTTCGGCACCCTGGGGTACGTGACCTTCGGTACCATGGATGAAAATATACTACGGTCCCTTCCTTATGACGAAACGTGAGTGATCTTCTACACATGCTATTGGCATCAAACATTTTTGGAATAGTAACTTATAGTACTGGAAGCAGCCGACTGCCCATAAGATGGACTACATTGAGTCATGCAGTTGATTTTAAATAAATTAGATATAGATGTGATGTGATAATTTTATCAATGAAATATAGATCTGTATTTCTGTAAAGTAGGTAAAAGACAAAAGTCGTGACTGCGGACTATCGAAAAAAATTCATTTTAATGTTTTAGTTACTTAACCTTTTGAACGCCAGAGCAAAAATACATGAACCTGCCTGTACGGGCTGTATGCTCTCGTACATATGATGTTGTGTGTAGTTGGTGTATGGTGTCGGTATGATCCCGATGTGGGTTCAGGGATTAGTGGAAATGTAAACACCACCGACACAATTGAGCGATTTAATAACACTAAAAATTATACAAATCATCTTAGATATAAAGGTCTTCACAGTATAGACGAAGTGTGTCACAATGTCACAGTGTCAGCAATACCTACGGCCTTGCACAATTAGTTGCGAATGTTACAATTATTAAATATTTCTTAAAGAATGTACGATGACTCGTACATATTTCCCACTAAACAGAAAAAAGGAATTAAAATGGAATTAGTTAAACTGAAAGTATAACAAATTAAATTAAGTTAAAAGTCATAGAAAAGTTAACTAAGTTATACAATTCAAAGTTATTGATTTGTCACGTTACTAGTGCTGGAGCTAAGGTTAAATTGGATGGTTCTTGGAAGTCCAGGTGATGTCCCGATGTCCACGTTCGATTGAGTGCGTCGTACTAAGTTAGTCCTCTTTGTTTGTTTCGAATCATCCTCTCGTTTGGGTTCTACTTTAATCTCAATAGATGATGTTTCATCCTGAGCAGTAGTCGATCCAGATTTACCCTCGTTATACTTCTTTGTAAACCATCGAACTCTTGCGTAGCACACCAAAATTGCCAGCAATAGCAAAGTCACGATAAATAGTATAGTGTAGATCACCGTATAATGTACGTGATCATGAGTGGAAGTCTCTAGTTCAACTTGTTTTGCAGCGTCAATGTTTTGTTGAATCTTTGCGAAGGTCTTGTTGTGGTATTCAGCGACAAAATTATCCGGAAGTGGAACTCTCATAAGTTCGTTCAATGTTGATGAGTCCGGCAAATCTATGGTGTCATCTGGTTTCATATAAATCTTATTTGTATATTCATGTTCAGCATATATCAAAAAGGCTTCGCCTTTAATAACACATCCCTTTTCAAGGCTTATCAGGCCATTATGACGCAATGTTTTCATCACGATTTCATTCGGACATATGATTCGAATAGAGCAAACGGTGCAACAAGAGTAGAGCCAAGTATTATGTGTATGTAATTTGACCCACCTGTCGCTACATTGTTTTATTTCTGGTCGACAGTACGGTTTATTTTCATTAGTTGTAAATAATTGCATGTTACACAATGTTTCTCCGACTTGCATAGTAAATACAGGATTACTCAATGGACAAAACATTTGTTGATTTGTGTGAGGTCTGCAAGCATGTATGTCATTTTCTGTCATCGGTATCACAGTGTCCTTCTTAACATTGATGGCTAAATATTTTGTCTCTGTCTTAGTGTATATGTATGTCTGATTCCCTTCTCGTTGAGGAAGTTCAATGACTTTACTGAGTTCGAATAAGTCTCTGTTGATAAGCGGTATGGTGATCTCCATAATCAAATATCTTCTTGTCACCGTTACTCGTACATGTAGAAGTCCATAAAGGTCACGAGCGTTATCAGCAGGTATGATGACATCACCTTGTAATTGTCCAGATATGGCATTCAATTGTTGTTGTATTTGCTGAGGGGAAAGTAAGTGTATATTCAACCTCCCATGGTATATATCTGTCACAATATCGAGTAGTGTTTCTTGAGTTCTGCGTAGGTTGGAAATAATCACGTCTGCGGAAATCCAAGATGCCATAATTTTGTTGTTTTGACTTGCGATTTGGTTAAGCTCTGTTGACAGGACTTTCAGGTGGTTATAAATGTTGTCAAATTGTTTGTTCATTACAGCCTCATTTCTTTTTAAGATGTTATTTTCCGCTTCAAGGATTGAGGTCTGGTTTTTGTACAAAGAAAGCAGATGATCTTCTCTATGTGTTAGCTTCTCGATGTCCTTTTCGTATTGTTGAGCGAATTTATCGTCTAGAACCCCGAATAACGAATTAGCAATGTTGCCAATCGCGTTAATCAATCCTCTTTTTCTCCGCTGTGTTAGATGATGGTTATTCATCAACAAGTCATTATAGTGATTTATCTCGTTCAGCTCGTGTTCAAACTGAGTCACTACAGATAAACAGAAATTATCATTTTGGCAAGCTTTACTTATAGCGTGTATGTATTTCTCTACGGCTTGCATGTTATGCCAATAGGTAGTCATGTTGTAGTAGACGATCATTTTCCAATGGTCTTGTATGATTCGAATATTGGATAGTCTGTCAAAGTACAGTGTATTGTTATTGTCAATAGGTTTTATCTTTGTGACTGCTTCTATTGCAGGAGCCAGGAATGTCAGCAATAACAGTACAGTTGCCGTCACTAAGTTTACTTTCGCTGTAGTTTTCCGTCGTTTTGGAGTGTCTTCGCGAGCGTCTTCTTTACTGGTATCAGGGTTGTCACTCTTCTCTTGTACAGGTAACGGAATCAACTTGATGATTGGTCGCTTAATTTCACCGCTCTTGGTCTTCAGTGTAACAACTCGTACGTGGCCATCCAGTCCAGCATGTACCTCTTTCACACGACCCAATGCCCATTTTGTTGGTGGCATATTATCTTCGCGTATCAAAACGACATCATCAATTTTCAAGTTTTCCTTCGGATAGTGCCACTTAGCTCTCGTTTGCAGATGCTGAAGGTAATCAGCCGACCATTTTCGCCAGAAATCACGATGCATTTTCTCTGTGAGTTGCCATCGAGTTCTAATGCACTTCGGATCTGGCTCCGTCATTGGAGGAGACAACAGAGGTCCTCCTGTAAGAAAATGTCCAGGCGTCAAGTATTGATCTTCTGCATCCTCTGACAGTGCATAAAGTGGTCGAGAATTCAGGCACGCTTCTATTTGAGCAAGGAGTGTAGTAAACTCTTCGAAAGTCAGTTTTTGTTCGCCTAGAACTCGCTTCAAGTGATGTTTAGTGCTTTTGACAGCAGCTTCCCAAATGCCTCCGGCGTTCGGCCATGCAGGCGCGTTAAAATGCCATGTAACACCCATTTCCGAAATAGAGGATAGACAGTACGGGTTTATCACCTCTAAAACTTCTTTGTATTCCTTCCGGAGGAGACGTGAGGCTCCTACGAAGTTAGTGCCATTATCGCTATACATGTGCTTAGGTGTTCCTCTTCTAGCGCACATTCGCTTAAAGGCTGCCAAAAACGCTGGTGTACTCAAGTCGGAGACAAGTTCGAGGTGAATTGCTTTTGTAGCAAAACATACAAACACGGCGATATATCCGCGGGTCGTTTTTATTCCACGTCCTTTGTTTGCCTTCAGCTCCACTTGTCCGGTGAAGTCCACACCAGTGTGAGTAAATGGCCTAGAAGGTGTCACTCGTGGCTCCGGTAATTCGGCCATCTTTTGATAGTGATTATGGCGATTGAAACGTACGCATCTCAAACATTTTCTTAGGTATTTCTTAACTGTATGAATACCCCCGAGTACCCAGTATCGTTGTCTTAGATACGCCAAGGTAAGACTCGGTCCACCGTGTAGGGTTTGGAGATGTGCTTGTCGTATCAGTAATCCCGTCAAGTGTGTGTCTTTTGGAATAATCATCGGATGTTTTGCATGTTCTTTCAGTTTTGAGTTCTGAAGTCTTCCACCCACTCTCAAAATATGCTTATCATCCAAGTAGGGATCGAGTGGCAGTAGATTACTCCTCGAAGACAATGTACTTCCTTGTCTTATTCGTAGAATTTCAGCTTGAAATTCCGTAGTCTGGACTGCTTTGATAATCAGTTCATATGCATTTTCAATGTCAATGGCAGTTAGGTATGTAGCACGATTAGGTGCATCGTAAGCAATTCGTACCGTGTTATGTTTTACGCCTGGTGACGACCGGTGTTTCGTCACGCGATGACGTAGATTTGTTATGAAACGTAAGACGCGCGCTATGACTCGCACGACATAAGTTATTGAACTGTGTTTGTTCAATATGTCTTCAATAATCGAGTATGATCTTTGAGCTGTATATGTCTGTACGTTCCTTTTTACTTCCATTTGAGGGAGATCAAATTTACTGGCTTCACTAGGGATCTCATCTTTGATCCACGCAGGGCCTTCCCACCACAGTGTATGTTGTAACAACTGTAATGTTGTTAGACCTCTAGTTGCGCAATCAGCTGCGTTATCACTTGATCTTACATGCCGCCAGTATGATGATGGTGCAATGTCAAGGATTTCCTTTGTTCGATTCGCTACGAAAGTCTTCCAGCGAGAGGGATTTCCCTGCAGCCATCCTAGTACTACTAAGGAATCGGTCCAGCAGTATATTTGTATGCCAGTCTGTGTTAAAGCCTTCATCACCTTTTCGAGCAGTTTAGACAGTAGCAAAGCACCACACAGCTCTAATCGTGGCAACGTCATTGTATTTTTGCGGGGTGCGAGTTTTGTCTTGGATGCCATCATTCTTACGGTGGAGTGTCCTTTAGCGTTGACCGACTTGAGGTATGTCACTGCAGCAAAAGCCTTTTCAGACGCATCACAAAATCCGTGTAGTTCTAGCTTTGCGTGTATATTTCCGGTCCATCTGGGGATAATAATCTTGTCGATGTTCTGTAAATCACCGAACAATTTGTGCCATTCTTCACAAATGTCCTCAGGGACTATGTCATCCCATTCCATTCGTACCATCCAGATTTTTTGGAACAGTAACTTGGCTCTTATCGTGAGTGGAGAAAGCCAACCTAGGGGATCAAATATTTTGGAAATATTTGATAACATAATTCGCTTCGTGCACATTTTGTTGGACTCTTCAAATCGATGAAACGTAAATGTGTCCGTAGTCGGGTTCCATAGTAATCCGAGCGCCTTTGTCGAGTTTGCATTTTTGAAGTCAATTGTAGACGGATTAATATGTTCTTTTGACAACGATGATAATAATTCACAGCTGTTACTACACCATTTTCTTAGGTTAATTTTTGCGCCTTTCAGCATTTCGATCAGTTGGTGTTGGATCTCTCGTGCTTGTTCGATAGTATGGCTTCCACTTAGTAGGTCGTCGACGTAGAAGTCATTTCTGAGCACTTCAGCTGCCAAGGGATATTTATGCTGGTCGTCACTTGCAAGTTGTTGCATTGTGCGCATTGCTAAGAATGGTGCGGCTTTCATGCCATAGGTAACAGTGCAAAGTTTGTATTCTTTCAAAAGATCTTGCGGGTGATCTCGCCATACGATCTTCTGAAGGTGTTGTTGGTCCGATTGTAGTAGAATACATCTATACATCTTCTCACAGTCCGCTGTGTACACAAATTCATAAGTGCGCCATTTGAGAAGCACTTCTTGTATATCACGTTGAAGTTTAGGGCCACATTCCATCAAATCGTTCAAGCTACTTCCCGTAGATGTTTTTGAAGATGCGTTGAACACAACACGTAACTTTGTAGTTGTAGAAGATTCTTTGATCACGCCATGATGCGGTAAATAACACGTAGGCTCTTTGCGTTCGTAGCATTCTTTCATGTGTCCTAGTTTCTCGTACTCGTGTATGAATTCTTGATAATTATGACGGAGCTTGTCATTGCTTAGTAGACGATTTTCCAACTGTTTGAACTGGGCCACTGTACGTGCCTTGGAATGTCCGAGATGTTTCTCGAAATCCTCTTTCATTGGTAATCGTACTTCGTATCTTCCATCTGGTAATCTCCTAGTTGTTTGTGCGTAAAGTTCCTCACAGAATTGTTCCTGTTTCGTCATCGTATTCGACTCCGTGGTGATTTCTTCCATTTCCCAATATTTAGCGATGTCTTCAATCCCATTGAGTACTACATTGCAGTGGAATGTTTGCACCCGTCCGGATAAGATCCAACCTAATTTTGTTTGTTGGGCGATAGGCTCTGTATCCGCTCCTTTGATCAAACCGCTCATGATGATGTCCGAGTAAACTTTGGCATCCAGTAGAATATCAATTTGTTTGGAAACGTTGTAATCAGGATCAGCTAGTTGAATGTGTTGAATGTGAGGGTACTGTTTCCTTTCAAGCGTGTTGTTTGGCAAGTTGTTCAGTATTTTTGGTAGAAACAAAGCTTCAGCTGAGAACTCGTAGTCGCCGTGAATTGACATGCAGTCGAGTTTGACCATGCCCTTGCTTCTCTTCAACGAGGCGCCCACGCCTGTTACTGAAGCGTTCAACTGGTGGCGGGGTAATCCTAGGCGTTGCGCGACGTTTTCGGTGATGAGGGTAATCTGTGAACCCTGATCTAAAAGTGCTCTAAACGTCATGTATGTGTTGTCCATAGCTCGTACCCGTATCTGTACTGTCGTCAATAGAATCTCGTCGTCATCGCTTGTCACGTTATTCGAGCTGTTTTGACGCGAGGATTTAACTGTTGTATGACCTGTTGTAGCGTCGGATTCGTGATACGAGTCGTGTAGTAACGAATGATGTTTCTCATTGCATATTCTACAAGTTTTCATAGAATTACAACCGCGTTTGCCATGTAGATATAGACAATTACAGCAGAGTCGATATTTCGTAACTATTTTCAATTTATGTTCTGGTAACATAGTTACAAATTTCCTGCAGTGATATAATGCGTGGTCTGCAGTATTGCATATGCAACAATTTATTGCAGTTGAAGCAGCGTGTACGAACTTTGGATATGAATTCTTATTTCCAGCACCGAAAGACGTTTTTACTTTGTTGCTTGTCGATGACCAATCTTTCTCCTTCTTTGGAACAGGTTCAAGTGCTGTAAACTTTCCCTCAAGGAACGCCATAAATTCCTCAAACTCTGGAAGCTCCCGTGGTTTTTTGCGTGATTCCATGTAATCTGTTCTTGTTTCTGGATCCAGTTTTTTCACCAACAGATGCACAAGGATCGGGTCCCAAGTAGTCGTATCTACTCCTAAATTGTGTATCGCGTGAATACTTTCCATAGTTGTGTCATAAATTCGCTTGATCTCATTAGAAGTTTGCTTCTCAATAGTACGATGATTAAGAAATAATTCGATGTGCTTGGTGAATAACACTTGTACGTTATTGTAACGATGAAATAACAGATCCCAAGCAGTTTTGTAGTTGTCTGATGACACGTTCAAATGTTGGATAAGACGATGAGCTTCACTCCTTAACTTCCCCTTTAAGTGTTGCATTTTTTGAGCGTCAGTTAACGTGGGGTTGTCATGGATGCTACTCTTGTACAGATCCAAAAATGTTGGCCACTGAACGTAGTCACCATGAAACGTAGGTACATCCATCTTCGGGGTCGACTCGTACTGATGCGCAGTTGAAGATATCTTTTGGTTTAAGACTCTTCTAGTATCTTTGTATTTCCTCTCGTAAACAGAAAATTCTTGTTCGTAATTTTCATCCTCACCTTGTGAAATATTATCAATCTTAAGGTGAAGGTTGTCTATGTCTCGCCATCTAGACTGTAGGCGTTTTAGTTCATCCTCCAACTCCCACTTCTCCACTATTTTGGTAATGTCAATACCATTGATGAGCCTTTGCAAAGCTCGGAAGTTTGTTTTTTGCTCACTCATCAAATCGCTAAGAGCGGGTCTTGTAGGAGGACTGGGTTCATTTTCCTCTGCAGGGTTGCAATTTTGAATCAAGACCTTGATTCTTTCATAGAGCCTTTGAGTATCCTTGAAGATATCCTTCTTGAAGTACTCGTGCTCTGAGTAATCATCACCAGATTGCAGCAGCTGTGCGTGGTTTATGTCGAACTCTGCCCATAGGGAATTAAGACTACTTATCCTTTTCTTGATGTAAGAATCAGTCTTCCTACTAGCCGAGTCCTTGTTGAAATTGCTGTGAATCTTGTGGATGTTGTCAATGATTTCCTTTTGCCTTGCTATAAGTTCTTGCATCTTGATACTTGTAAATCACTAAAATGCGCTGTCACGGCAGAAATCACTGAAGGTAGTTCGTCACTTATACAAATGTTCCGAAGTGGAGTTGTTTTTCCAAACACGGTCGCGGTTCAGTGTCACTTAGAGGAGAATGTATTTTCTTCCTTGTGAGTGATAGTTTTCTAATGGGTTTGCATTTCACATACAATCACGTATGCATATAAAATACAAAACACCACTGCAGTAGGCTCGAAGGACCAAAATGTACGGGCTGTATGCTCTCGTACATATGATGTTGTGTGTAGTTGGTGTATGGTGTCGGTATGATCCCGATGTGGGTTCAGGGATTAGTGGAAATGTAAACACCACCGACACAATTGAGCGATTTAATAACACTAAAAATTATACAAATCATCTTAGATATAAAGGTCTTCACAGTATAGACGAAGTGTGTCACAATGTCACAGTGTCAGCAATACCTACGGCCTTGCACAATTAGTTGCGAATGTTACAATTATTAAATATTTCTTAAAGAATGTACGATGACTCGTACACTGCCCTCAACGCCAAGCCACAAATTCCGCGAAATTTTCTACAAAAGAAATAGGGATTCCAATGGGGAATCAAATCGTTGATTTCGTGTTTCTGTCATGTATTTGTGTCGTTGGCGTCCTGGGACAGTGTTCGCTGGTCACGTATTTGTGACATTGGCGCTCAAAAGGTTCGAGTTGTTTAACATTTTACAGCTAATAAAACCAAAAGTATGTACGTGCAGTTTCTCCTCTAACATTTTTTGTGTAGTCATTAAGTAGTGTAAAGATTGATCTACTTAAGAAAAGTTTTGAATATCGATAGCTAGATGATGTCCACTACTGGATAAAGACCTCCTCTTTAGTCCTCCACGTCCAACGACATTGACAACTGTCTTGATAATAACAGTTAGTTATAAAATAATATTTTGTAGATCTTCGATGGCTGCAATTGGCTTTTACATGATTGCTGTCGCTTCCGCGTTTCCACTACAATGCCAACCAGCCATTCTGACCATTATCGAAGTGATAAAGTACCACGACCAGTTGACTACTCCATCGGACATCACACTGCGCATGATTGACACTGTCGCTAGGCCATTGTTTGTTGTTACGTCTTGTAAGTTATAAATTTATACGTTTGTTGAGGAGTAGTTAATTTATCAAGGACCTAAGAAGACTATAGGCTACAAGATGTAACGTAACTATTAATAGAAACTATACAGCGGATGTATATTGGTAGCTCGACACTATCCAATCTCCATTTCAGAAGCAATACCAGTCCTTTAATTCTCCTTCTCCCGTCAACAAACCTCTAAATAGCATTGGCAGTCGTTCATGTAGGAAAAATATTATCTAGAGGTAGAATGACATTATAAACGAAATTTTCTATGGGCTCATATATGGAATATTTTATTTTTAAATCAAATTATTCATATTTTTCTCACAATTCCTGACGTTAAATGGCGCGCCACTGTACGCCTGGTATATGCCACACCACCATATGGATGGTAAGCTAAACATTTTTTTTACGTATTTTGACGACTTCCGCTATTCAATCCGCTACCGACGCCGCAGTTGACAACATAGCATTTCATGATAGGGCTCAATGAAGTATTTTGTGGGTTTTCGACTGAGAGGAAATTGGTCATGAAAATCTGTTATATGCTATAAACCATATACATACATATGAAGCGAAGACGCTAGTCAATCAAGCGAAATGTTTTTTTTTTTCTTGAGCAGTGGCCAGTTAATAGTACATTAAAATTTGTTTAAATATACTCTAATCTGACTCCGTCGAGCGTACGGCGCGTCGCGTTCCGCGCGCCTCAAAAAGCCATCAGACCACCACAGATGGGGCCCAATAGGGCCGATGCCGATTCGGAGTCGCGGAGAACCTAACGGGTAACCGGGGCTCCGGCTCGACGTGCAGGAGAAGGAACGGGGTGGTTTTTAGTCAGTAAGAGTCTGACACTCCCTCCCGCCTCACCCAGGCGGGAGCAGTCATTCAATGATTTTCCCCCCTTAAAAAAAAAAAAAAAAAATGACTCCGTGGTCTTATAATAAAAAAAAAATAAGTAAAAAAGTTCACAATAAGCTTTATTTTATTCTTTGAAATCGTTTATAAATATTTGTTACAAAATAATTCTGACAAGTAAATGAAGAAATAAGCGCTGTGTACGGGTCACCATGAATAAAAATAATAGGAATAATATAGCACTATTTTCACATCTTTGAACTGATTTAACTCGGTTCGGACTGAGATTTTGTTTTTTGTTTATATAAGACGCCATATTTTTTTTGTTTGTAATGTTATTCTGCATCTGTTTTTCCACATCCGATCAACTCCTATTTAAAAAAAATGACTTAGCCTAGTTAAAGAACTATGTATGTACGGTCAAAGATCAAAAGTCCACTGCCACCGTAATACTACTATCGGTTGCGCTGCAGCGCTTATACACACATGCACACGCATATTTTAATCCGTGTGCGTACGCGTGCATGTGTTTATGCGTACGCACGCGTTTTTATGCACATTAATATGCAATTACTTACGCATTGCCATGTGAACATCACTCACTGTGGCAGTGGATTTTTGACCTTTGACTGTACATAATGTATAATGGATATTGTACGTACATTTCAATCGTTTCAGTTATTATTTGTTACATCATACCGTTTCAAGCGCCGTTTGTGGCATTTGTGGGGAATTTCTGCACATCTGTATTGGCGCTCATATGTCCCGCTCTCATGGACATATGCATCAGGTAAATATCGAATTATTTATTACAAGTACGTGGTACACACATGTCCAGTGTTTAGCTGACGAATGTTTTTTTCTTTATGGAATAGCAGGCAAACGAGCTGACGGATCACCTGATGGTAAGCGATCAGCGTCGCCCATGGTCGATGGCGAAAAGATGTGGCAGGTATCAGTTCAAACAATTCCTCAGAGCACTCTCTTTGGCATAAGCGGTAGAAAATGCACAACGAAGCTACGGCTCTACGCATTGCCAAAGTGTCTAGCCGGTTTGAAATGTACCGACATCCAACAATCCGAACGGCACGCCACTGAATGCGGTCCAGAGGAAGAAGCTGGAAACCCGATCGAAGGCCTTCGAAACGTCCGAACTTACTGTCAACGCTTCCTTTCGCTTAGACTTGATCGCCGACTAAACTAGAAGATCACCAGCGGACCGTTCCTTACGAAAACCGTATTGATGGTCACTAAGCAGTTGATGATCCTCTAAGTAACGCAGGAGCTGGCAGTTAATAATAGACTCCGTTATTTTCGAGAAGAGGGAAGTTATGGCTACCGGTCTGTAGTTGGACGGATTAGATCGATCAGTTTTTTAGGCATTGATTTCAATCAATGCCTAAATCATCATGGAAGACATCATGGAAGACAGCTTTGGTTCACCAAAGCTGTCTTCCATGATGTCGGAACTACGCCTGAAGAGTAAGAGAGCCGAGCTTTGACGAGCGACCAGAATGCACGAGTTCCTGATGGAAGGCGCTCAAGCCTCTTACCAATTCGACCGATGTGCTGCAACTTTATACTCCTGCAAAGTTATACTCCTTTTTTAGTGCGCTGGTTTTTACATCCCGTGCCACCAACGGGCTTGGTAGGCCTCCCGCTTTCTGCGTGAGGCCTTTCTGGTAGAAGCACCAAACCAGAGCCGATATCTGCCACCGACGGGGACCAGAGAAGTAGGCACGAAAAGCTCCATCGCTTACTGCTGCAGGGGATCAGCAACACAATCGGCAACGGTGTTGGGATCATCCTGCAAGAAGCAAACCAGCCTCCAAGGGTAGTTAGCAAAAAAGGATCAAGCATCACATCCCATTCCAGTCTGCCGGCCTATAGTGCCACATACGACGACCGCGTGCCTCTTGTAGTCACGGTGAGCCCGTATAAGACACAGAGCTCCGGACAATGCAATTCTTGTCCATCAACGGATACACTGTATCTGTCCGGGTGAGAGGTCAGCAGAAGGTCCAACAGTGAACACCTCTGACCCTCTACATCCGCGATACACGTGGGCGCGGTAACCAGTTGTGTCAGGCCAGAAGCAAGGGCAAAATCGTGGACAGATCTCCCCGCGTGTTCAGTCTTACTGGAGCAAAGCCAGTCGGCGTGATGGGCGTTGAAATAGCCAAGCAAAACCACCTCCGCTGGGTGTATCTGCCTCTGCACAAGATCTACAGCCGTCTGGATGTGGTCCATGCAGGAACCGGTCAGTCTCGCATAGACACGGGGGTGATCGTCGTTATCTACACGCAGCCATAAGATGGACAGGTAAGATGGCGACGATAACTGATATCGTCCCTGACGTACACGCATACCCCGGCCCTAGGCAGGAAGGATGTGCCCAAATATTGTACAATGCGAAACAATGATAAACTGGTTTCGTGTACCCCGATGTGTAGCCGGGTCTACGTGCTCATCTACGAATACACATCCTGTCTGCTCAGACATTGATCCTGAGGCACGATAGTTAAGAGGATTGCAAACTGATACATACTTGTTTGCCATCAGAACCAGGTCTACGGTAACTAGCTGTGAGCTGCTACGACAAACTTCGTACCGCCTACAAATAATTTTCTCACCTATTAAACCTTCCCGGACTTCCATGGAACATTTCAAGACCAAGATTAGTGAAATCGGTTCAACCGTTCACGAGTTTTAGCGAGACTAACAAACGGAAATTGATTTTTATTTATATACTAGCTGGCCCGGCAAACTTCGTACCGCCTATTAATGTTTTTTCTCACCGTTTAAACCTTCCCTGGACTTCCACGAACATTTCAATATCAAAATTACCCAAATCGGTTCAGCTGTTCTCGAGTTTTAGCGAGACTAACGAACGGAAATTGATTTTTATTTATATAGATATAGATGATGATGACGATGAATTAGCACAGTTCCCCCAGACTTCCACTCTATTTGACTTTTTCTATTTTCATTATACAATACATCTTTTCATTCCAGATATCCTAACTACTACGGCCGGAACAACTTCCATCTTTACAAAGACCTATTTATATTGCTTCTTGGTTTTACGTCATTGAGTTTTGGTGCATTTTTCAGCCTTTATTTAATACGTATACGGTTGCTTTCAAAATACTCGCCAAATAACTACGGGTTTTATTAATGTTTTCCTGGTGTAGTTACTTTCTAATCAGTATTGGTGCTGTGGTTTGACTGAGAATTAAAGTGGCAAGCTCTACTGTTTGTTTTAATTAACTCGTCGAGTACCGTCATTATAGACACAATTATAGAACATTAGGTTGCGGTCACCGGTGACCGCTTGGTGTTTGACAGTTTAATTGTTTATTTTTAATTTCAACTGCCTCGTTTGCCGAGTAGTCGTAAGTGCGGCTGCTGGGCTAGGGTGCTGGGTAGTCTTGGGTTCGAATCCCGGGTCGGGCTAAGTATTACTGGGCTTTATAAAAAATCTCAGTAGTAGCACGAAGTCTGGAATTCGCGTCACAAAGGATAAAACGTAGCCTATGTAACATATACCAATACACACAGCGCCATCTATACCAATACTTTTGTTTTCCCTCAGGAATATCAATTTTTCCGGGAAAAAAGTACCCTATTATTTAATCCAGACTTCTAACTTTACGTCTGCAAAAATTCAAAGCAATCGGTGTAGTAGTTACGGCGTGAAAGCGGAACAAACAGACAAACTCACTTTCCAATTTATAATATTAGTAAGGATAAGGGTTGTGACGCCTCAAGTCAAAACAGCATGGCGTTAAGGTGCTGGATTGCCACGTTGGATGGCAATGCTTATTTTCTGTCCGAAGAAATAGCCAGCCCTCTAGTCACGTGTAGAGTCGATTAGCCTACGGGCGATATCTTTATAGGCAGAGTGTGCACTGGGATCCCATGGCCCAAGTGTTTCGACCCCAAACGGCTCAAAACAGTAGTTACTGACTAGATTTGAATATTTACGCCGTTTGAGGGCCTCTACCGCGAAAGCGGCCGCACCATCGCATGCAGCGGTACTTAGAAGATGTGATGGCGCAAGGATGTCTACACACGTCCCACACCAAAGGCCTACCCGTCTTCCAAGCCAAGGCAGCAACGACATACCATTTGATCTCTTGCCGTCATCACCTACCGAACCATTAGGTTCTAGTACGGCTGGTACACCGGCTGAGGCAAGAGCACGACGAATGATGTCGTTCATGCTGGCATGGTGAGCTATACGGCCTGCACTCCTGCAACAAGAAAGACCATGATGTCCAAAGCCATCGACTCTTTCTCCACAGTGGCAATAATGCGGAGAAACACAAGGAGCACCTAAACGTAAGCATAAAGCTAGGCGGAACGCACTGACTGAGGTAAGTAAAAGGTTTTATCATTATCAGTGCGTTCCGCCTAGCTGTAATCTATGGCGGAACGTTATGTCATATAGATTCAAAATTGATTTAAACCAGTTTTCAAAAAAGTGCGTAACAACCTATTACTTACCAGATCTATGATAATATTTTTTTTTCAACGTCCAGCTGTTATTTATGATGTTTGATTATTAAAATGTCAAACTTCAAGTCTAAACTGTAAAGGGGGGAAGTATTGGAATATGCTGAAGTATTTCATAAATCTAAATTGGAAAATTGTATAAGTGATGTGGCTGATGATCCAAGTTTTACCCGATAACATTATACTTTTATTATGGCTATTAGCATTTAAAACGTACATTTGCCAAACATCTTATAATACCAGGTAAGTAGCTTCCAAAATAATGTAGTCTAAAAAAGTTTTATGTTGTTTACTTCTTAGAAGTAAAAACCCTACGGTCTCTTCTTCAGGAACGCCTTACCTCTGTGGAACTGGGAATGCATAAACGACAAATGTTTGCCATTAAAAGCAACACACGTATCAAAACTACAGTCTTTGGAAACCTGCAACATGCTATGCTCATCAATACAGATTTGGCCACAGCCAACGGGATCAGTCAGTCTGTCTACCACCGCAGTACCTGCTCGCTCTGACATGTTCCAACTACAAATGATCCAGGCCCCCACGAAAATAGTACATGAGCACCTTCAAGAAGCTTTTGCTCATTTCCGTGAAGACTTGCAACGAATAGAACATGGTTCACGAGGTTTCGAAGAGTGGCGTAGTGTATCAGTAAGATTATTGGTCAACGGTAGTGATGACCCACGAATGACATTAGAGACTGACGAAAGTTACAGCCTTTCATTACGACCTGTTGAAGGAACTGCCGTCGCATTAATAGCAGATATAGCCGCACATTCGTTCTGTGGTGCTAGACATGGGCTGGAGACACTCCTGCAACTGGTCTGGTTGGACTCGTATATGGGGTCTCTTTTGATACTCGAAGCAGCAAGAATAGACGATGCCCCCAAATTTCCATATCGTGGATTGCTTGTAGATACGGCGCACAATTTCTTTCCTATCACTGAGCTAATGTTGAATATAGATGCTATGGCCGCTTCCAAATTGAACACGTTTCACTGGCACATTACCGATTCACAAGCTTTTCCACTGCAAACGAACAGTATCCCCGAATTATCTAATTATGGCGCGCATACTCCTGGTGACGTTTACAGTCCGGACGACGTGCGAACAGTTGTGCGGAGGGCCAGGCTGCGCGGGATCCGTGTTTTATTAGAAATAGATGCACCAGCCCATGTCGGCCACGCCTGGAGCTGGGGCCCGGTCGCGGATCTGGGTGACTTAGTGTTTTGCCTTGACCTCGAACATTGGAGTGACTATTGCAGTGAACCGCCCTGTGGACAGCTGAATCCAGTCAATGAACGAGTATACGACCTTTTCGAACGTCTATTTATAGACGTGATGCAACTGACTGGAGTCGAAGACATGGTTCATCTGGGTGGCAGCGACATATCTTTGCGTTGTTGGAACGATCAGTTTCGTCACACTTTCAATGACTCCATGGACCTCTGGATTCATTTTACACAATCGCTTCTAAAACGCTTAGAACGACGAACTGGTAGAATACCAAAATTGACAATTTTTTGGATGTCAAGCCTTAGTGAAAGATTTAAATCTGATATAAGAAGATATATTGATAATATAGGTTTTCAAGTTCGCCACGCTGCATGGGCGCAAACATATGTAACCGGCATCCGAACAATTATGTCTCATGAAGATGCCTGGGACTTGAACGCAGGACAAGGAGCGTGGTACGAAGAAAACAATGGAGCCCCGTACAATTCATGGCAACGGGTATACGAGCATCGTCCGTGGTTAAAGCATGGTACGGGCGTGATAGAAGGCGGAGAGGCTACAGTTTGGTCGACAGAGGTAGGTGAGGGCAGCTTGGTAGCACACACGTGGCCCCGGGCCGCCGCGCTAGCCGAGCGCCTGTGGACGGATCGGCCTGAGGGAGCCACTCGGCCAGTACATGCACGTCTTGATGTGCACCGAACTCGATTAGTACAACGTGGTATACAGGCGTCTCCATTGTGGTCAATGTGGTGCACACAGAATACGCACACTTGCAACTAGATTATGGAGTAATTGCGAAATATACATCTAAAGTGTATTTTACACTCGTAATCTTTATTTCGTAATATTTTTTTAATATTATAAGTTCTTGGATAAGACGTGATTAAAATGATTTTATCTCACATACAAAAGTTCTACTAATTGCAGATTTGGAATGCATTAATAAATCTTGTAACTATAAAATGTACTGATTTTTACAAATGTATTTATTTTGTATTACTATTAAATTTATTAAATAAATTAAGTACTTATTTTGTATTTTTTTAATAAAGTCATATCAGCCACAACCACAAGTCATCAACTTCCACCGATGAACTTAAAAGCAATTATTATTAAAAGTATCGATTTAATCAGCCTATCTATTATATTACAAATTTATTTATAATCCATCGATAGGTTACATCGACAACAATTAGAACAACTGCTAATATTAGGAAATAGAAAACTTAAAAAAATATACATTTCCGTTTCCAGGAAACTTCCACTTAAGCCACGTTCCGAAACTAAAAATGTTTACAAATATTGCAACTACATTCGTCAATAAATGCAATATATTATAAAAATACTCGTTTCCAATAAAAAAAGAGTACCGTGTATTATTTGTTTTTGTATAAGTCATAATAATATTACTGTTTACAACAATACATTGATCGATAAATCGAAACTATTCTTATGGAACCTATAAAAATTAACAAGTTTCAGAACAATTTACGTTTGGATACATAATTTTAATTCACAGAATAATAACCTAAAGAATGTTGTTTTAATTGATCCTTTCTGTACAAGTGTCGATTGCCGACCTAATTAAAGTTTTGATTAATAATTTAGTTTTCAAATTCTTCTTAAAGAATGATCATGATGTGAAGTATAGCGGACCGAATAAAGTACAATTTGTCTATTTTTAATGAAAATCAATAAGGGCGCTACAGGTAGTGATATCAATTACAGCCTGTGGCGCCTACTACAAAACAGTAATACGATTCCTACCCATCATAGCCACTGTTCGAGCCGTCGAGCGCAAACATAATCGTAATTTGATAAAAGTTCAGCTTCTTGTTCTACTGAAAATAACTTTATACTCGAAATACAATCAGTTGAGCTCTACTACATAGTTTTAATATTATTAGTTCCTCAAACATTGGTCGTCATTCTTAAATTGACAAACTGTATCATTAAATTACATTCGAGTCACCCTTATAATAACACTGTAAAGACTTAATTGATAATATAGAATGAATAAGTTATTACATTTCTATTTCTTTAATAGCTTTTGTAACAAAATATTTAATATAATAAGCAAAAAGAGCGATCATCGATGCAATGATTTTGTGACTTTACGAATCTTTCTGTAATAACGGTTTAACATATTTATTTTTCGAATTTTTGCATTAGATTTGATGATTTCGTTTTCTAAAATTTCTCATAATAAATATCCGAACGAAATGTTGCACAGCATGCAAAACTAGGAAAAGGATATCGCGTATCACATGCTAATAAAGTTACTTGTGTAGACACAGCTTTACAATAACTCAGTATTTTTTCGACGTGCATCTGAATAGAATGAGCATATTTTAGCATTTTTTTTTATTTATTTAAATCTCCAACATTTAATCAATGAAAAATAGAGATAAGCACCTAACATAAGTAATTTAAACAATTAGATAATCAATTTAAATGTAAATAATCATATAAAGCTAGATACATATCAAAGGAAAAATATAAATTTAGTCTATGGTCAACGTGGCGGCCGTGTAGTTGTAAGCGTCAAGTGATGGCGTTTTGTGAAAAACACGTAAATAATTTTAATTTGTAATTAAATGTCAGTGTAACTTTTATAAATTAGAATTAATATGAGCAGATATTACGATTACGGTAACGCGATATCATGGTGAGTAAAGTTTGATTTGGAGTGGTGACAACCATATTGTTTGAAAATTTGTGTACGTTTTCTTTGGAATATTTATTTGTCATTATTTAATAACATAGCTAACTATTCCAATAATTAGTATCGTTAATTAATAACAAATGCTTATAGACTTATCATACTTCCCAGACTATTACCGGGATTTTTAAATTCAACTGAGTTTCCAACCTACGTTTTAACGTGGTTTTCGATATAAAATGATGCTGAACTAGCCCTAGTCTACAGAGCGCCTGTAAGCCTCTGCATATAATTTTAAGAATATTCATACTTAATTCATTTTAAAACTATATGCTACAAATGTTGCATTGTTTTTTGAATTAAGTGCGTAAGTAATTATTGATTTTATGGGAACGCTCTGGGAACCCCGGTACCCCGACACTACAAATTGTTCAAACAATATATTAAAAGTTCTAATTTTAATTTAATTCAAATTATTCAATCATATTGTTTTTGCTATGGCTTGTTGACAAACAACATTTTATCTACAAACCAAATAAATTATACAAAAGTTCTCTCAGAGTCCACTCTGAGAGAACTATAATTATTGAAATACTTATCTGCTATAGAAGTAGTAAATAATAGCTTATTTCAACAGTATTGTTTTATTTTTACCTAAAAAGTAACTAACAATCTTTATCATGGTATTTAAGTAGATAATAGTGGTCTACACCTATGTATCTTTAGTTGTAATAGTAAAGCAACTGCTCTAGTCCATAGCTAGCTATTACTGAGACAGCTAAAATATTGTCTAATTCATTAGAGTATGATACAATTTGGAGTGGTCCTGTTTTCTCTGTACATTATTATATTATATTAATTAATATATCTGTAATCGATATTCTGGAAAATTTCATAAACGGGACACCACTTATTTCTCTTACTGATCAGCTCCTGTCTCTCCCGATCTATGGGTTTCATGTTAACAAAGTGTTAATGTACTTTTCTCTCCTTAGCGATGCTCGTTCACAGCTGCAGTGGAATAATATCTCAAATTATTAACTAAAGGATCACCAACAATTGCTTTAAAATTTGTTAGTTTAAGTACTTTTATGGTTTATCTATAGTTATTAAATTAAAGCTGTAAGACATGTTTTAACCATTGATGACTAAAATGGATAATTATTCAATTGCAGATGTTCAGTAGTTCTTGCCCCTTTCCCTGTAAGTTTCCAGTCTGTTACGTAAGAGAAATAAGGTAAAGTCCGCGTGGTGCCTTTCATTCACTACATGAAGAAATTTTCCAGAAATCTCTTCAGTTTTATGTGGATAATTGATGATAGTTTGTCCATTTTTGGACTCATACATTTCAGTTGACATGAGATGGTCGTTCGTCAACAATGGTTAAAACACGATCTTCAGCGAGGGTAGGAAGCGCGGCCACCAGTGCGCCCGCCGAAAATGGAACTTCTTCCGAACTTAGATCGCGGCTCAAAACCACTGAGAACGGTCACCGCTCCCAAAGGCCCTACAATCAAATTAGGCAAGTTTCAGTTCTTGTCGCGTTTGCCTCAAACATAGCTGCTAGCATGATATCCCACTTCTGTCCAACAGTCACCATTGTCGTTTCTGTTTGCTACTGCAGTCATTACTTGTGGACAGCTGGAGGCAGTCGAAGCATGAGTCTCGGTGCTTTGGTGATGGTTCTTGTTATGAACAGAGATTTGTTAGCAATACAAGTTGATGGCAGTGACACTGTGCAGTCATTTGTTGCATGATTTGCGAACCTGATTGACTTGTCCCTATGTGATTGTTTAACTGCGTTTGGCAAGGTAGGAAAGATGTACCTACATGTTTTGGTAATTTTTTAGGAACAATCAAGCGCTGCCCTCGGGGAGCGTGGGGCCGGGCAGCGGGTCGCAGGGGAAGGACCCCCTGGCGCCCGCGCTGCCTGGCCGCTCCCTCTATCAACACCCCACTGTTAGCGGGTACAATACACAAGACTCACGCGGGCAAGCCATGCCTGTCACGGTAATTTTATTTTTTTAACAAATCAGTGTTGTAATTTTTTGATGATTCAGATTTTTCTTATTAAATAATAATGTACAATAATTAATTAAGTCTTTCTCCAGCCACTGTTGCTTAAGTGGTTGAATTTGATCAACTCTTAAATATTAAAACAATAAATATTCATGGTCGACCCACAATACGGAGTGTAGCGGACGTTGCAGGCACGGCAGAACCCCATATACCCTAGCAGCATGTACCACGGGTACGGCGCTAGCGCGGCGGGCACGCTCGCTCCGATGCCGTCACCGTCGCCCACCGCGCCTCTAGCGCCCTTCCCGGTACATCCAGACGTCAAGTTTAGGAAGTAAGTATCCTCGCCATGAACAGGTGTACACTCCATTTTGGTAGATTCTTTCAACATTATCGGTCGAAATTTTATCTTATCTTAAGCGTTTATAAAAACAAATTGCATATTCATTACTCAACACTAGAAATTAGAATAAAATATGACTAATTCTAATTTGAAATTATCCTTATTTACATAGAAGTAAAACAATCGAACTTTGTGTTGGGACTTTCATTCCACGTACAGTTTGTTTCGTTACGTACGAGTCTTGGTGAAGTCTAGTAACTAAACTCTCGGACTTCCAAAATGACAAGAGACACCGCACAATACTTATAATCTAAGCACGGAGTTCTTGCATCGTACCTGACATAGTCATGTTTATGCAAACACCATGCTTTAAAGCGTTTGCATATACTTCCACCTACTAACAAGATTCCATTTCACCAGACTCCCCTTCTACGACGTGCTAGCAGAACTGATGAAGCCATCGACAATGATGCCCATGCAAGCAGGTCGCATGCAAGAAGGCACCTACGTATTCCACCTTACACCACAACAAGCCACAGAAATAGCTTCAGGGAAAGACCTCGTCGGAACTAGCAATAAACTTGATTATGTCATACAGGTGAGAGAGAAATAAGGTTTCTTATAACATAAAGAAAATCTCGGTATCATGTCATATTCTTTATCGAAAATGTTATCTACTTATGTTTCATTTATAATTTGATTTTAATTATATTTATATGTTTCACAGACATTATTTTAATTTTTACTAATGTTTGTCCACAGGCACAACTCCGATTTTGTCTTCTAGAAACCTCGTGCGAACAAGAGGACCATTTCCCGCCTAGCGTTAATGTTAAAGTTAACAACAAAATGTGTCCACTACCTGTAAGTTCTACTTTTACTGTAAATGGGAACGAATGTGTGTGTGTGTGTCACTCTCAGCAGAATGAATTTTCCTAAAGATAAATGTATAGGCGGCTCTTGTGAACTTATTCTAAATATTGTAGTATGCCAGTGAAATATGTCTAAACCGTAAGATATTTTATAAGAACACACATATTTTCATAATTAATCACGAAATTACGTTCTTGAACCTGACTTGAGCAACCTTCAGACTGTGAAAGGATTTCGGCAGGTTTTCAATATTTTTGTTAAAAGTGAAGGTCCTATATTGATTTCTCGACGTTTTAACCACATGGTTTATTTTGAAGCCACATAAGCAAATATCATATTTATAATCTTCGTAGTTAGCGAAATTAATATTGGTGACAAATTTTATGTGATAAGTCATCACATCCTTACCCCAACAACTTCGCTTGTCAACAACAACAAAGATTTGGTAATTTCGATGACCTATAAACGTCTGTGCTAAATGATAATGCCATATAGTCTAAGATCCCGTTATAGAACGACCTTCACCGAGATGCTTATTTAATGAAACGTATTTTATATTTAATTTAATATGTCAATAAATATAATCCATATGGGTTGCCTAGCAAATTTCAGTCCAGAGTATGTTTAATTAATAATTAAAAAAAAATATTTTTTTAAACATTTCACCGGTATGATTATTAGATAAATTCTATACCAATCGAAAGTATGAAGCCCATAGAATACACAAACGTTAGGTTGCCCTTAATTAAACATACTCTGGACTGAAATTTGCTAGGCAACCCATATGGATTATATTTATTGACATATTAAATTAAATATAAAATACGTTTCATTAAATAAGCATCTCGGTGAAGGTCGTTCTATAACGGGATCTTATACTAATAAAGAATATACAGAATGAAATAAACACACAAGCTGTTCAAATCACCAATAACTAAATTCCGTATTTGCTGCCCTACAGAATCCAATACCTACAAATAAGCCCACGCCAGAACCAAAGCGGCCGCCGCGACCTGTGAACATATCTTCCCTAGTGAAGCTATCGCCCACTGTCGCGAACACTATACAAGTGACGTGGGCCGCGGACTTCACGCGAGCTTACGTGCTGAGCGTGTTCATGGTGCGCAAACTGACTTCAGCCGAGCTGCTCCAGCGACTCAAGAATAAAGGCACCAAAAATCCTGACTACACGAGGTCACTTAGTAAGTTTGTCTTAAATTATGATGATCTACACTACAATACTACTTTTGTAAGATAGGAAAGCAGTAGGTTTCTTTGTTTTTGACAGTAGAATGAATAATTTGTTGATTGAATGTTGTTAAGGATGCTAAACTCTTGTCCAGCAAAGAGGGATTCCAGCAGCTGTAGCCAAATGCCATTTAGCGCTTGTCTACATGTAGAAAAGAAAACCAAATTATATGGAATTGACGTAATTTTTGACACTTGTCAGTGTCATCCCCATAAATTTTGATTTCTACTTTGTAGACAAGCGCTAAAGTGGCGCATGGCGTTTGGCTAAAGGCCCTGGGTCGTCAGACAATCAAAATCCCAATAATACTAATAAATAAAAGAAAAGCGTGAATAATTTTGTATGGGTTCTTGGTGAATATATACCTCTTGTTACACCTAATTTCTTTTTTATAAGCTAGTTACAAAACAAAAATTTTTTGTACAGTAAAAGAGAAGTTGTCGGAGGACTACGACAGTGAGATCGCGACGACTTCGTTGCGAGTGTCGCTGATGTGTCCACTGGGCAAGATGCGCATGGCGTGTCCGTGCCGGCCCGCCAACTGCCCGCACCTGCAGTGCTTCGACGCCTCGCTGTTCCTACAGATGAACGAACGGAAGCCCACCTGGCTGTGTCCAGTCTGTGACCGACCTGCGCCTTATGACTCCCTTGTAGTAGACGGGTAAGTGCTTTATTTTATTAGAAGCTGCTGGACTGGTATATTATTCAAACAGATTATTTTGTAACTAAAAGAGAAGCAAAGGTTTTCTTGGGCTTCTAGTTCTATATCAAAATCAAAGTTAAATACTTTCAATTAATCGTAATTACGCACTTTAGAAACGTCAAATTAAATTGTCAGTAAAGCTAGGTGCTCGTTCCAAAGTATATAGTTTCGTATCACACTTAGACAAGATGAAGAACTATTCTTATTTATAAATTAGATTTTGTATACAGAATTCTACCCTAGCAATCAAGGTAACGAAAAGATCTGTTATTTTATTACAAAAATTGGCTCAGAGCAATGCACATTTTCAATATACCACCCATTTTACACCTTATAACAGCCCTTTCTGTAGTAGACAGAAATTGCCAGATGTTGGTCAGTTCCAAGCAACCGTTTTGAAGGTCACTGGAGCCTTGTGGCTGATATGGTGTTGAAACAGAAATGAGCAGTGCCATGGTATCGTGCGGCAGGTACTTCCAAGAGGTGCTGACGTCCCCGCGGCTGTCGAGCGAGTGCAACGAGATCCAGCTGCACGCCGACGGCAGCTGGTCGGCGCACGCGCCGCCGCCGCGCGCGCCGCTCCTGCAGCAACCCGCCGCCGAGCCCGTCACTCTCATCTCGGACGACCTCGGTCAGTATTCACTAAATATAAAATGTCATACAATCCGAAATAGGACTGATGTAATATGATTTTTGTTTGTAGGTAGGTTGGTAAGATAACATTAATAAACCAGTATATTTTGGTATTACTAAAAATAGTCTCATGTAAATAAGTCATTACAACAAATAGATGGGATAGCAATAGACAATATCATGATCTTCAACTAGCATCATTGTAGAAAAGAGTATATGGCTGAAATACAGAATTAATTTAAATCTATTCTACAGAAGTGATTCCTGTGGACAGCGGTGTAGGCGCTGCTAAACGTGCCGCCGTAGGCGAGACTCGTGCACCACGCTCTGCAGACGTGATGGTGGACCTTACATCAGACTCTGATGATGAACTACCTCTCAAACGTAAGATACCACCGCCGAAAGCCACGCCACCAGCTTCCGAAGCTAATATTAAGAGTGACGACAACTATTCATCAAGTGGTGAGTATTAAAATCACATTCATTATCTCGAGTGTGGCAGTAGCAGAACAGAGCAACATGTTCATGAATATTTACACAGCAGCGGAAGCAGTATCGTCGAGTGGGTATCGATCACCCGGCGTGGCCGGCGGTGCGTGTGGAGTGATATCACTGGACAGTCCGTCCCCGCCGGCGCCGGCGTCCCCGCCATCGTCCCCGCGCGACACGGAGGCCCTGCCGGAGCGTCCACACCTGTCCATCACACCGGTGGCGCCCCCTACCAGCAACTCTTCACAACACCATATAGGTAAACACACATTACACATATTTTGTTGCCTTTCCTGAGACTGCTGGCCGGCCTGTCGTAAATAAATACAGGTATACCTCAAATACTTCAACTTAGATCTGTTGACAGTAACTTATTGTCTTAAATCCAGAATACCTAATTTTCTGTTCCTCTGTAACATCATCAAGTTACCATACAGTTGTAAGTTGAAGTTCTCTTGAGAATTTAGACTGATGACCGCAAAGATTGCTGTTTAACACCGATGTAGCAGGTAAACTGTAAATATACCACAACTGGCTTTAAAAGCCTTACCATGAAATCGATCACTATGCCCGTCGCTACCCGCACCCTTTCAGATCTGCTGACGAAGCGGCCTCAGTTATCCGTCTCTTTGGTACCGCCACCTGAGCCCGCGTCGCTTCATCTAGGTAAAAAGATAACACCCGAAATTAGTGATGAATTGCCATTAATTTATGAGGCCGTTATAATGTTTGATGCAGTTAAACCTGAAATGTTATAGTAGTACATGATTAATTTGGGGTGTGACTAAAACAATTAACTTTATTTAACCTGGTGTATGTGCCCTGGCTTGAGTTTCCGCGGTGACTGACTGAGATGCTTTGTTTGCCCCCCGCTGCCGGCCGCCGCAGTTCCTCACGACGTCATGACGGATGGCCCGCACCTCTCTATCACTCCCGTCACTTCTGCGGCTCCCACACATCATATTGGTAAATATGATATCTTATCCATCATGTTATGGTCCCTAAAAGAGTCTGGTTCGACTCCAGAGTTCAAAGTGTCGTTGGATTTATGAAATATGTATGATATATGCTTATATACTCACTAATAACTAACCTATATCACAATAAAACAAACTTATTTATATTATTTTTCTATGTAAGAAAAATGATACATAATATTATGTGTGAGCTATACTATGGACTTGGCCAGATCTTACCCTAAAAATCAATTGAAATGTACAGATGACATGACAATGAACATGAACTTGTATAAAATAAAAGGTGTCATGAACATAGCATCTTGCTATTTTCTTACACAATATACAATCCATCTATCTATAAATGTATATAAAATGAAACTCGTTTCCCGTTGTCACGCCATAACTTGAGAACAGCTAGACCGATTTGGCAGACTTTTTTTTTTTTGTTGTGTTTATTATTGTCAGGAGAAGGTTCTTATGACAGAAAAAGGTCCTGAAAATCCTAAGGGAACGAGAGAAAACGGGATTGCGCGTACGAAGTCGCGGGCAGAAGCCCTATAAACTTCAATATGAATTAATTATGTTCATTTTCATACATTTTTGGGCATATTTCAGGCCAAGCGATTTCTTAGGAAAAATTATAAATTAGTTACTATTTTTTTCTAATTTTTAAACATAAATCACTGCTTCTGCGTAGAATATAAATGTTATAATGATACAGGTTCGAGCACGAATGCAGAGCGTGACGACGCGGAGGCGACGCCGGCGCACTGGGCACCTTACGCTGACTCTGAAAGAGATGATAATTATAGGAAGTAAGAACTAACTCATGCATTTACTCTATACTTAAGTTCAATAAGTTTTGTATTATGAATTGTGGTTTTGAAATCATTTTCTAGTAATAAAACAAAGAGTTTGGTTGGTAATTTTTTTTTACATCTCAGCCCTATTCTTGAAGGGCTTACCAAATGATAAGGCAAGTACACAATGGTTAATAATATGCTGATTCATCCAGATACTGACTGCGGGAGAAGAGTGGTCGCCCTTCCTACACTAGCGGCCATTCTTCAGAGGAAGATCAAGAGGCGTCGTACCCCGAGGTGCCGCTACTGCCGCAGTAGTGCGGTCCATTCCTTGCCAAAGTAGATCTTCCAGCGCGGCGCGCACCGTGCAGCCCGCTACACACTCCCTGCGTCTAGTGCCCGACACGAGCGTCTCACTGCGGAACTCGCATTCCACATGACTTTCTGCTCAAACTCTTCATCATCATGGACCTCCAGTTCACGTGGACATTGAACTAATGAAACACAAAATTAATATTTTGTCTAATGTGCATTTTGTTCACCAAATATATATGTGTAATTCTGTGAAATCCTCGAGTATTGCAGAATAAGCTAGCGAGATCAAATATTGTATTTGTAAGCACCTCGATTCAAACAGATTCTCTTTAGCGTAGTTGTAAGTCCGACGTCATGAAGAGTATCAAAATTTGTATTATAAAATCATTTCACAAAATAGTATAATGTATGGTTCTTAACGAATTGTACGAGTATGAATACAATGTGATGCTGCGTGAATGAGATCAGTTGTAAAATAATTAAATTTTTAAATAGAAGGCCTTAGGATTCGAACATTTGAATGCGCGAGTATGTATTTCGTAATTTTGTACTAAGTCGTGAAACGACAAGCTAACATAATTAAAATAACGTAACATTCTTTACTTACTCTACTGATTCAAAATTTATTGATCAGTTTTATAATACCCTCAATAATTAAATTATATTTTGTGAATCCACACGAAAATCAATACATTTTGTTAGATAATGATGTAATATTGTAGTACATATTACAAATTGAGATTAGAAAAATCTACAAATCTAAGTCCTTGTTTGTCAACAACAACAACATGCAGCTAGATCGTGTTAGCTACAATTTTAGTAATTTGTACCTAAACATATTTATTTATATGAAACTAGATCCAAATTTTAGAGTTCCCAGCTAGCTTATAACAACAATGTATTATAAATACTTTTAACCAAATGTTTTGTTACTTCTCTCTTTAGTATTTAAAACTTTGATTATATTATTGACTTTGAATTCTTTAGATTTACTTGTTGGCGCGAGCTATTCATTTATTGTAATGAATATTGTGGCCACACACTAAATGAAATTGAATCTGTCTCAGTTTTCAAGTCTAAACAACGTTCTATGTGAATATGAAATGTATGCCTCGGCAATAGCAGGCTAGCTTAATAATTTAGAGATTCAATTAATATTTTATTTTAAACAATCATATACAATTGGGTCTGAATCGCGCCTGCAACCAATACTGCCCCTTATTATAATTTTCCTTGCGACATTCGGAGGATGTTCTAATTTATTTATAATTAAGGTGTAGTATTAAATGTGTAATTGTATTATATTGATGTGGATGTCGACATTGTTGACTTCAATGCGATACAAATTTAAGAATGTTAGGATAAGATATTGTCATTCAATAATAAATGTAAATATTGTTCAACTGCATTTTAATATCATTATTCACACCTGCCTCCATAAACTTACAAATCCTTATTGATGTATGAATGACTAGTTTTGAAATAAATTTACTCTTGCAAGTAACTGTACATTTCAATCATAATGTTAATTATTTCTATACTAGAGAAACACGAGATAAAACAATAGTAAAAGTAGTATGAGACTTCGGCCGAACGAATGTATCTAGCAGTTATATGAATTACACTAACAGAACTAAACGGCAACGACCTCCGTCGCAATGTTTAATTGTCAGATAATTATTGTAATGAATGGGCGGCTGTGGTGATGCCGCCTCAAACGCTACAACAATCATTATCTATTCACTTGGTGGATCAATCCAAGATAGCACTAGTCTGTGGCGACGCCGGCCGATCGTACTCTGTTCGTATGTACGCGCCCTTCTCACATTTTTATGCCGCCCGCCTCATAAACTGCTTCGTCCCTTTCGCACCCAAGCGCGACTGAATTGTGCGTCCCGCTCGCTCGCACACCTCACAGGGGGGACACGTAGCTCTGCTCGCTCGAAGCCAGTTCCGCGGTCGTCCGCCGACTCCTAGCGGCGCTGACGTGCGTTACGCTCTTACGACAATTTTGTTTCCACTGTGAAATCACCAGTGTTAGTGTTATTTGTTTATATTTTATAACATAGCCCATGGATTGAACTACATCGCTCTTTGGATTTGACGCTAGCTGTGTTGTGTACTGTACGTGTTTGTGTGAAACCCGAAGCGAATACTATTGTGAAACGGGTCGGCCGTGTTCGTTTATGTGCTGAATGGTGATTAAAAGTAATTTGCTTTGCTTTTACGGTGTTGAGGGTCGGTGCGTATCGATCGTATACTGAAAGACAAAGCGGTGGATTGTTATTGTGGTGTGGAGGAGACCGCTGCAGGTATAGGTAAGTGGTACATGTTTTCATTGCGTTATGGCAATCTGGCCATGTAACTTACTAACATGACGGCCGGCGCGAGGATGCGGCGGCGCGGCCAACACCGAGCCACAGACTAGCTATAACCAGTAAACTAACGATCAGGTTGAACTCGAGTCAATTTAACCTGTATACATAGGTACAGTAAGTGCACCCGTCATTTTGACGGTACTAGGTCGATGCTCGGTGTAATAAGATTATACTAGTGGTGCTCGATATATCAAATCGTAGAACAATGCGCTTATTGGTATCTCTTATACGATCCGTTGTTAATATTCCCTGAAAAGCACGTGCTTGAAAGCTTATTATAACAATTACCTAAGTTTTAAAACAAGTCGCTTTTGTTATGTCGAAAGTTTTATAAACTGTTTTTATTCTATTTTGGAGAAGTAATTTACACTAGCAGGCATGACGTGCTAACTAGATACCTACCTATAACTAAAGTAGGTACCCACTAAGAACAGCATATATACATATTACGTAGCCTGTATCGGTTAAATCCATAACTATGCATTAAATAGATACCTAGTTATTACTATATTGCTTATGTAGATATTTATCTACTAACTTGATTAGGAATTATGAAGCACATTATCATAGCAGAAATGAAGTCTGTAGTAGATATCTGAATATAAATAACCCCTCCACAGATTTTGTCTAATCCAATAGCTACGAGCTGCTTGTCAATAGCAATAAGTATGTACTTAGGTACCTACTTTAACTATGTGAACGCAAGCTTTCGTTATCAATAGCGTCGAGGCAGCCAACTGCAACTGATTCGTTGTCGTGTAGGCTCGGCGCGCGGCGATGTGAACACCGCCTAATAGCTTCACGTTCTGAGTGCCTTTACTAATGGGATAATGGCAGACCGCTGCTCGCTGCTCGCGTTCGAAATATTTATAAAGCGGCCGAATCGCGTCGTGTCAACAACCATCTGACTGTTTGCTTTCCCATTTAGACGCGCTGGCCGACGAGGGTGCCGATAAGGCGAGCTTCGACAGTCAATACTCACGGCTGCTTTAGAATACGTTAAACGACAAGACATGCGGGCCCATTCATATGCTTCTATTTGTTTGTTCATGTCGTCTACCTACGTAGTACTTACATACTACATAGTGAGTGTATAGCTCACTCAGCTATTAATATGACGCAGTAAAATGACAAAATCAGGCATTGCACGACATCCCTCGGACGACGCGATTATCTCGATATGACTATAATACCACTACACTATTTTCCTTCATAAGGTAACACAGTGTTCACTAAATCTCTATAAAACATTAAAGCGACGATTCACAAAGGGACATTGAAGTACCTCAAGGGCCCTAAACTACGTTGTCGAGCTCAATGGCACTTAAGAATGATAAGTAAACACCCACCACCTACCTTCTTGAAAGATGTAACAAAACAGATTTATGTAAACAAAGACATTACGTGTTTTCACCCCCATTGAATAGAGAGGGAGTGCCGAGTGACGAGTTCGCGATAAATTGACCGGACATGCAGCTTGCTATATATAAGTAGCTCGCATTCGCATACTTTACTACAGTTTTCTCATTTCCTTTTACATTAAACAAGCTTCATCGTACTAGAAATTCAATAAACCAACACTATTCCTTTAATTTTAGGCTCCTAAAAATGTAAGTTTTATTTATAGCTCGAGTATAAATCGTTGCTATATTATTATATCGTAAAAGCGAAATTTATCAATTAGTTACTTCGACATAATTTTCATTTTAATCCGATAAACCCGACACCACATTTCAGTATCGTTTACGATCAAACAAAACTAATGACAAATTGCTTCTCAAAGCGTGTTTTACGAAGTCGCGCGCGTGCTCGCTAATGCTAATAGAAAACCGGATTTATTATGACCATAATACCATTATCTATGTTTACCGACTGTACTGTTGTAAAGGCAATAGAATTGCGTTGAGTAACTACACACCCTAACAGTAATTTTCGTTTTGGGCTATTAAGTACTAGATATTATCTAATAAGAACTCGGTAGAAAAGAAGTATTGTATTCATATCAGAACCACGTAGCACACATCTAAACATTCATATAAACTCTTAAGTGTAAGAAAATAAACATCCATTTTTCATGCACTACATAGGAACTAGGTACTCTCTACGCGTAGGTTTAACTGAGTAGGCTGGCAAGTGTGACTGTACAGTCTCATTTCTACGGCTGTAACAAATGGTTTGGAACAATGAGCTATTCAAGACGAGGCAAGTGGTAAGCTGAGCAAATGTTTTAAACATTGTCGCTCGTTAGTGGTGCTCGTGGCATGCTCTTCGCGTCCAATTTGTAAGTTTTTTGGACGCTTGCAGCGCCGCGGGAGCCGCTACGGGCGATCCGCGAAACACAGCTCGCTTTGTGCACGAACTACGTTGTTCCCTTTCATGGCATCGGTTATTGTACACCGTACTTATTGCCTTGCTCTTTGTGGCACGAATGTTGTTCAGGAATAGAATTGCGATAACCCGCAAGCTATTCTACCCAACATTGAACATACCTTTATTATTGTTCGCTTGCTTTAGCACGCCTCTACTGCGCTCCTTCTCACTGAAAGGATAACAACGAGTCAAAATCTTGCCAAATAGTTATTTATTTATGTCTGAAAATAAAATTCAATCAATCAGCATTCAAAATCAGATGTAACGATCTTCACCGATATTCGATAATGATTAGTCAATAGTGCGGGTACCTATTCATTTTATTAAATTGTTAACTAAACCGTTATCTATTCTCTGGTGAATGACGGCGAGGCGCGCGGCTGCTGCCTGCCGATCAGAGCAGCACTCTATTAAAATCACACTTGATTAGATCTCCGTGCGGTTTAATTGAACACTCCAGTCGCGGTATGCACGCCTGGTACACGGTGCACAACACAAACCGGGGCCGCCGAACGAGAACGCTCCGTCGACGACGTCTTATTTCTTTTTATACTTTCATCTCGTCCGATTCGTTTTCGTATTTTTTCCTTTGTCCCTTTTGTTAGATTTTTCATATCCTTCTGTTTTCCGGGTGGATTAATTTTAATTTGAATTCAAAGACTCATTCCAATATTTGCGCTTTTTTCTTTCTTTGTAATATTAGAAGGTAGTAAAAGTTATCAACTCATCAAATATGTTTTGAAGTGGTGGGGTATTATTTTTTAGGAACGTAGATACATGATCTTCCACGATAGATAGAATATTTATCGCTGGGGTCGCGGGATCACGGCGCGCCGCCGCCCACTGGCAATTTGCCGTCCGCCCGCGGCGCGCCGCACACCCGCACTCACAGCTCGCCTGTAAGACATGTTCTCAAACTAAACGCTATGCTAATGTAATGGGGCTCCATTTGATCACAGCCCACGGCTAATTTCAAATTTTCAATGAGACGTCTGTGGCAGCAACTTTATTAGGTGATTAGTTTTATTATTAAAGCGATTATAATCACAGGAAGGCTTAGCGATAGAATTGAACATTTCAACGTTGAAATAGGAAGTTTAATCTCTTGTATATATTGATCGGTATAAAAATATAATCTTTGCATTTTTATTGAAACTTTAAAACCTTTTACTTAATTATAATTATGATGACTTAATTTATTGTGTGATGTGTTGTCGCGAATGAATTCACAGCCACACACGGTGCCTTTGATTTCGGGGTAACCTACCTGCGGAAACTATAATGGATCTTCCCGGAAACACCTCTCGTCGCTCCTACTAGTCATACAATACGTGCCATTGACGAGGCATTGTGTGAATATTTGTATGACGTAGTTTTATAGCTATGTACAAAATGCATACTACACATACAAAAAATGTTTAATTCGATAACAGTTATTTGATTCTAGCGACTTGATAGTTTGTTATAATTCGAAGGGTTTGAATTGAATGTATTTCGGTAGGTGTTTTTGATAACAATCAGCGCAGTACTCGGCGTTTATCACCATCACGATTGCGCGCCATTTTGTATGACAACCGATCAACCGGCAATCTTGTTTATGTTTAACCGTTTATGCAACGTCTCAACTGGCATGTTTAACACTCAATACACGTCGGTTTCTCAACCAGGTTATGTCTTTTCGCTCGGTAAAACCGGTATAATGTAAGTCGAAGTGAGACTCGCATGTGTGGAGTAGGTAGCCGGATCGTAAATCACTGAACGCGCCGGTAATGCGTAGATAAGAGCTCTCTCATTTGTTTTCCCATTTCCCCAGAGAAATTTCTTAGCGACATTACCGCGCGGCGTATGACGCAACGAGCAATTACCCCGGCTTCACGCGAATTCTTAGTATTCTTACATTTTCATAAAGTTCCGTACAACGGTTATTCTTTTGTATAAAACTTATTAAGTATTCAGAGATTTGTCATCTCCGTCAACAGTTAACTTTCGGGGCAACAACGGCGGTTGTTATTTATAAATGTACGTTTTTCATTCTCTAAAATCCGTTGAGTAATGTCACATAAAAAATATTTTGCCTACGACAACTTTGAACTTTGTTTAAGTAAGAACTTAAGAAGCTACTTAGGTTTTTTTTATGTTATTGATCAGTACGTATAGAATGTTACACGAGAATTAAAATTACCTCCATCCCATTAGTGATACTACTCGAGTAATAATTATACAGTACTCGGCAATTCAGTACTGGTGGAACATCGAACGCCGACCGATATGAGCAGATTGAACAGGGCTGCGGCCTGTGGTGCACGCCATCTCACTTGATTAAAGCCAATTATAGTCTTCACGCGATTATACTGTCGCGATTTACGGATAACCCCACCATTTTGAGAGAGACGCCTCTTTCATTAGCATGCCATGAATTGCCATGCCATTTCCATGTTCGAAAGCTTAATGACCACGGCCGTGGATAAATTTAATCGTCGAGTTGCCTTATGAGTGCCGACGTCGGCAAATTACAAAATGTACTATGGACAATATTACATATTTCTCATAAAACATGTAGATAAGTTACT